AAAGCCAGGCTTAAAAGTTTTTTCGTGACCAGCAAGAAATCTATAACAGAATACTTGCTCGATATAAAAAGAAAATTCGAGAAAACAAAATTAAAGGATTTTTCCTCGTTCTGAGTAGGTTAGCGAGGTTTCTCCCCAGTAAATGATCCTTTCTGCAGGGCTTCCTCCCGCTGCCATTTCAAGTGAGGTAAGAGAGGAGTTATCAAACGCCTAGGATTTATTAAAAATAGAGCGAGATAGAAACAGAAAAAGCCCAAGGATATGAACCTGTGTCAAGCACAAAATTCATTTTCGAGGAGAGGCTACGCGGGCGTGAGAGCGGGGGAAGGTAAAGGGCGAAATTCTACACAGAAATCCCCTTTAATCGCACAATCTTTTGAGAATTTGATAACACATGTAAGCTGATTGAGTCAAGAGCATCCCTTCTTGTTATAACTGTTTAAGGCGAAGGTATTCTGAAACGATGATGCCACAAAAAAAGATGTTTTCGACCGTTTCTGCCTTCTGCTGTTGTTTTATAAGCAGCTGAAAACTGGGTTTCCGGGCAAGCGCCAGTACCACTTCATTGCAGAATTTACTAAAAATACTCCAAAATTTCAAAAATTCCAAAAATTCCAATTTCAAAATTTACTGAAAAAATACACCGAAATTAACTACTTGCTGCAAGTTTGCAAAACTGAGAACGTACACATGAACAGAAAGCGAGATATGCGTGTACACTCCGGCAGTGTGAAGTGCTGCGCTTTTTCAGTAATTGGTTTTTTTTTAAACTGCATGAGTAATTATTAATTACACACAACAAATGGAATGGTGCTTGTTTGTTCGTGCCTGCTTGGCTAATTTCTTCATAACCCCTGATCAGTAAGAAAGAGGCAAAGATCAATAAGGCTAGCTTTTCGTCTTTGTAAATACATTTATGCCCTAATTAGCATTATTTACAAAGCCACCTGATTCCTTTCTCTGCTTTGCAATTGTGTCATTCATATATCTCAATATACCAGTACAA